TTCAGTCATTACTCGTAGCTGCTGGGGAGCACTATCGTAGCCCATTAGTAAGTCGAAGCTGGAAACGTGGACATGACACAACAACGCTAGTAACTCATCGCCACACAAGCACTGACCTGAGGGGCAGAGAGAGAGAGAGAGAGATCAGACGCGTACTCCGGCTCACACTGAACCCCTGGCTACCGGGCCACACCCGGCCCGCGGGCCACACTGAGCCCCGGCCCCGGCCCCTGGCCACCTGACCCGGCCCCTGGGCCACACTGAGCCCCCCCCGGCCCCTGGGCCACACTGACCCCCCCCCCGGCCCCTGGCCACACTGACCCCCCCCCGGCCCCTGGGCCACACTGACCCCCCCCGGCCCCTGGGCCACACTGACCCCCCCCCCGGCCCCTGGGCCACACTGAACCCTCCCCCCCCGGCCCGCGGGCCACACTGAGCTCCCCCCCCGGCCCCTGGGCCACACTGACCCCCCCCCCCCCCCCTGGGCCACACTGAGCCCCCCCCCCGGCCCCTGGGCCACACTGACCCCCCCCCCCCCCGGCCCCCGGGCCACACTGACCCCCCCCCCCGGCCCTGGGCCACACTGACCCCCCCGGCCCTGGGCCACACTGACCCCCCCCCGGCCCCGGGCCACACTGACCCCCCCCCGGCCCTGGGCCACACTGACCCCCCCCCCGGCCCCTGGCCACACTGACCCTCCCCCCCGGCCCGCGGGCCACACTGAGCTCCCCCCCCGGCCCCTGGGGCCACACTGACCCCCCCGGCCCCTGGGCCACACTGACCCCCCCCCCCCGGCCCCTGGGCCACACTGACCCCCCCCCCCCCGGCCCCTGGGCCACACTGACCCCCCCCCCCGGCCCCTGCGCCACACTGACCCCCCCCCACCCCGGCTCCCGGATCACGCTGAGCCCTCGGGGCCGCCTGAACCACCACCACCACCACCACCACCAGCGGCAGCGGCGGCATCAGGAGCTCGAGCCCCCGACCGATCCCCCCTCCCGGACCCCCGGGGTAGAGAGAGAGAGAGAGGGAGAGCGCGCGCGTGTGTGTGTGTGTGTGTGTGTCTCCCTCTCTGCCGCTTCACGGGCGATCAACACCTACCGGACGGCGCGGCTCCGCCAACCCGCTGTAGGCCCGAGGCTGCCCGGGGGCGCACTGAGCATGCGCGGCGCCGCCCCCTCAGCCCCCCCCCCGCCTCCTCCTCCCCTTCTTGTTGTTGTTGTTGTTTGTTTGTTTGTTTGTTCTGTAAAAAGTTAACTGTAATTTCTTCCTTTTTTTTTGTGTGGGTGGTGTGGTGGGGGGGGGAGTGGGGGTGGGTGGGGTGGGGGCTGGTGGGTGCGGGGAGTGGGGGTGGGCGGGGGGTGGTGGGGGGTGGGGGTGGGCGGGGTGGGGGGGTGGGTGGGGTGGGGGGGTGTCAGAGACTTGTGTCAAGACACGTGCGGGACCCGCCCGCCCACCTCCGCCGTGGCTCAAGGCGTCCCCCACCCACACCGGGAAACTCCGGAGAGGTTCTCGGAGGGGAATGTGCGCTCTCTCTCTCCCCCCCCCCCCCGGGGGAGAGGCGTCCTGCTTAGTTAGTTCCGGAAAGTATGAGGCGCAAGGTTGGCAAGAGCCGAGAATCTTGGGGGTGGTGTGGTGGTTAGGGTGGGGGGGGGGGGGAGCGTCGGGAGCAACTTCTGGGAGTCTTAACCAACTCACACCGCGAGGCTTGTCGTCGATATCGCTGTCTGGCCAGCCTTCCCGCTGCTTGTCCAGCCAGGACCACCCGACCCGTTAAAGAGCTTTGGCCTCCAGTGACCGGTCTCTGCCCTTCCACGTCCTGTTGGAAGGGCTGTGCTGTTCATCTGCAGTGCCTTGGGGGTAATTAGTTCAGGCAGCCGCTCTCCCCTCCTCTTGGAGCATCAGGTCCGGGACAACAGACCTTGTGGAGTCCTGTAGCTCAGCTTTGCAAGCGAGACACCTGAGTTCAATTCCAGGCAGAGGGCGAAACCTTGGGCAAGTTTCCTTACTCCACACAGAGCCTAATAATAATCCCTCCAAACCAAAAACAATAATAAAAATTGGTCATTTTCAATCTACGACCGTTTGTGGGACATTGCTGTGCGCAATTGGCCGCCGCGTTCACCCACAAATTAGGCAATTCACATTACAGTGCGTTTGTGAAGCGCTTTGGGACGTCCTCCCGACGTGAAAAGTGCTATATCAAATGCAAGGATTATTATTATTATTAACAGGTGATCACAGGCTGTCCTGTGCTCACAAATGCACTGGAACACTACCGTGTGACGCGGGGTGGGGGCCTATGGTCTGCTTTGGCTTCAGGTGAACACGCCTGAAGGCATCAGAATCAGTTGGGAGCTGTGCATTGACGCGAAGGATCCAGCTATCCCACGGTCCCCCGATAATTAAATAAATACACTATTCCGCAAGTTTATACAAATTGTTTTTTTCATGTACAGCAAAAAATTACACGTCCTTAAACAATCAGTGTTGCTGCCAGTTTACTGTTCTCCAAATAGAAAGAGTGTCATTCAGTCTTAAATAGATATCAGCATTCCGATGAGTAGATGTGCAGTGTCTCCAGGTTGAGCACAAAGCCATCCCAGGGTCAAATTCTGGTCTGTGCAGAGGAACTGTTCTGAAACAGGGCAGGAGTTAGGCCGAGCTAGTGAGAGGTCAAATTAGCAAGGATTCCCACTCCTGATCACTGGACTCCCTCACTCCAGGTGCAGGTACACATCAGGTGGAGAACAGAATCATCGGCATGATGCCCCCATGAACTAATAGAATTCAATCTTCATGGTCAAGACACAGACATGAAAATTTTTTCCAGGGTGCCAGAGGCACTGGTACCCACAGAATGTACCTCCAGTGTATAAAAAAAATTAGAAACGTGTTTGGGGGGAGAAAGTTGTAACAGAACAATTCCAACAAAAAGAGAAGAATTAACAAATCACAAGAATTAAGATTTTATTTTGAATGACGATTGATCTCTGGTGACGGTGCTGTAGGGCTGGCAGTTTCTCACTACAATGCGACTGAGTGATGTGTGACATGTGAACCCTTTACAAAGGCAACATCCTCTCTGTATTTCATGCTGGTCACCGGCTGCCTCCGAAGCAACGTGTCGCCCTGATCAATACTCTCAGGCTGGTCGTAAATAGTTGAAATTATGTGACTGGTTTCTCTGCGCAGCCTCTTTGCTGGTTGGTATCTCTGGAGTTTTTCTCCGTGGTACCTGTACAACAAACGCAACATTTTCAGTCAAGAATAAGTAAAAGCAGAGTTCTCAGTGAGACAGAATTGTGTGGTACAAGGCTTATCCATTGGGATGGACTCTTTTATTTCAGGAATCAGAGTAGAATAAGGTATATCGAAGAGGGCTAAGAATCCAGCGCCTATAGAGATGTAGCCTCTCCCAGGCACAACATTCAATACATTGACAGTTTGGAGCATTCAAGAACTACTCACATTGTTACAAACATTCTGCCCCTAAATACTCATTCACTGTAATCACCTTGAGTCCCGCTCAGACATTACATACCCCAGTCCACGTTTACACTTTGGATGCTGTCCATCGTTTTCCAAAGCATCAGCCATCCCTGAGCTACTGGAGCCTAGGCCAAGACCCTCTGTCCATCCCTGTTTTTCCATTTCCTTCCTGCCAAAACCCTGGAAAAGAAGGACAGATACTGCAGTGTATGAGTGTCACCGACACAGCCAACTGGTATAAATACTCAGTGTGTGAGACACATTCAGGAACAGTGTACACCCTTACCTTTGTGTATTTTTCAAAGCTCCCAATACGCAAGGTCTGCACAGAGCCAGATTCCAGACCCTCTCTCAAACGCTGCTCCAGCCTCATCTGTACATAATCCCGGGAATCTTTATCCCCTCCACCTGTCAAGAGTTTAAAACATTAACTCAAGTATTTGTGTGAACTGACCACAAAATATGGATGGTGTCCATTGGAATGGAATCTTTCTCAAAAATCAGAGTAGAATATATCATATCAATGAATCCTGCACATTTCCCAGTCTCAACATGTTGACAGTTCAGAAAATTCAAGAGCTACTCACATTGTCACAGAGCACACAGATGGTACTCTAATCTCCCTCCACACACTCTGCTTTTATATAGGGATTATATTGTAATCCCCCAATTCCCTTACAGTTCCGCCTACGTGATCCCTACATAACTGTCACACTCACTGCATCTCCGTTTTGCTAACACAAACTTCATTGATATACAATACAAAAGGATAATTGATGTACCAGTAGTGCATCAGTAACACTCAGCCACACAATGAACAAATCACCTTGAAATGCTGGCAAGGCCTAATATTATTGCATTTGATACAGCGCCTTATCACGAAATTGAGATGCCTCAAAGCACTTCACAGAAATACTGTAAAGTGGATTGACTCGGTATTTTGTGGGCGAAATGCAGCAGCTAGTTTGCGCGCAGCAATCTCTCATATTCAGCTATGAGTAAGTGACCAATTTTATTTGGGGGATTTGTGGACAGGACACTGGGAGAAACTCCCTTCTCTTTTTGAATAGTGTCATGGAACCTTTAACATCCATCTAAACAGGTAGACGGGACCTTGTTTTAAAAGTCTAATCCAAAGGATGGCACCTTCCAAGAATGCAACACTCCCACAGCTCTGCATTGGTGTATCATGTTAGATTAAGTGATTCCAAGTCCCGACGTGGGCTTGAACCCACATCCTTCTGACTCAGAGCGAGAGCACTACCAATGCGCCAGCCTAATATACATGTGGCTAATTCACGCATAATGCTTTCACCGACCCTCACATAATCAGGCCATCTCTTGACATCCCATAACAAAGTGGGAAGGAAGGGTGGCTATTATTGAAAAACAGTCACTAATTCCACCCATTCATGCAGACTCAAATGCAACAGGGACTTCACATGCTCATACCTTTGTCATAGTAAACGCTCATATCCACATCCCAGTCATCCGCAGTTTCCTCATCGAAATCTGAAAGACAGTGACAGACCGTTAGCGTGACGTCACAGAATATAATAATAATAAGGACCCATCACAGAATCCATCCCTCCCTTGAGGTCTGAAAAGCCCTACCTCCTTCTTCCTGCTGCCAATATTGTGCGTCAGTATAAAATACCAAGCCAGATCCTCCCTTCTCCCACTTGAGTTCAATCTCTTCTTCAAACAAGCGCTCCTTTGTGCGTTCTTGCGTTGTGACATCCTCGTGCAACGCCTCATGCCTCTCCCACTCCTCGCACGAATCTTCGTCCTGTTGCACCAGTGAACACAATACAAGAGAATCAAACAGCAAGTCAGTGGGATGAACAAAAGATTTTGGAAAGACCTCCATCCCCTCTGTCTGAATATTATTCCAAATTCCAGAGCACAAAGGTTCCTTCACTCCAATGTCTAGATCAAGTCCCATGGTGTGTATGTAGAATCATAGAATGTTCAAAGCACAAGACACAATTCAGCTTCTCATATCTGTGCTACTGCTCGTTCCCCAACTAGTGATATCTACTCTAATCTCTCACCAAACCCCCATGTTCTACACCTCATTATATCTCTGATCCTCTCCTATCCCCCTCTGCTCAGCTGACAGGCTTGCTGCATGTCCCTGCCCCTTCACGCCACCACCGTTGGCCGAACTTTCAGCTTCTACGCCCCTATTCTATATGGAACTTGCACCCTCTCTTTCTGTTTTTAATTTCGCCTTGACACCTACCTCTTCGACAGTGCCTATGGCTACCTCCACCTTCCCCCTTGCTCAGCGTCCAACCCCATTTGCTCTCCCGAGACATTAATCTACTTGAAGGGCGCTGTTTAAATGCAAGTTATTGTTGTAGTCTGTTTGGTAACATTGCCAAAGTTGGTTTCCTCCCCTTTACTTGGTGTCATCCAGAGGTAGAGCGCTGCTCAATCACACTGTCAAAAGCTTACATTGTCCGAATGAGGTTCAGCTCCTTTTTCCTCTTCCTGCTCTATGCTATCTGGTAAATGGCCATTTTCCACCTCTTCCCGCTTGTCATTGTGCCAGAGTGGGAAAAATGATGTACTCCTCCCCGAGATCTCTTCTCCTGTAGCTGTGTAAATAGATTCCTCTTGTTCCAGCAGTTCTGAGGTCTCATACTGGAATGGTACATTACCATAACGTCTGTTGGAGCTAGTTTTAGGGAATTTTAAGTCCAGTTTTGTGATGATGCGAGGTGGCAGCCTGCAGGCCTGGATCAGCTCTAGGAAAACTCTCACTGGTGTTCCCACATTCCCATTGGGCATCAGAGCAGGAGGATTCAACTCTGGCAGTCTGGACAAATCGTGTTGTGTGAAGATCTCGCTCTGAGCCTTCTTATTCTGCAACTCCAGTTTAGTTTTGTAGGGGAAGAGGTTCAAATCTATTTTGAATGAAAAATGTTTTTAGAAGTGTATTCAAAGAGAAACAACTTAAAATTCCATACAACAGAGATGTAACAACTGCAATAGGAAACACCATTCTTCCCAATGCAATACACTCAACCCAACTAAAAGTTGGGTTTTTGCTCAAAGATAGCAATCAAATTATACACCAGCCGCTGCCCGGACACAACTGACACTGTGACTATCTAAATATTTTTCTTCTTCAGCCGGGTGTTCAACACACGTGGAAACCCATCACCATGCTTAAGAGTATCTTGCAGGATTAACAAGAATCCCTGGGGAGAAACCAGTCTGCCTTTCCATGTCCTGCTGATAAGCCAGGCTGACCTGGGCTGTCGTTTGCAGTGTTCTGGGGATCTGCCTGACTCAGGAACTGGACTGTTGAGATCACCACAGAAGATTCTGTTGCTAAACATGTCACCCTGGAGACAGTTCTGTTCCAAGGAGGCTCCGCTTACCTCCCCACCAAGGAGGATAATCACTAAATGGTCATTTGACATCGGGCAAACACTGGTTTGAGCCCTAACGAGGTGGATGGGTACCACAAACTCTCTGCGAGCTTCCCGGTAGGCAACACAGCTCACCATGAAATAATAATAATAACCCTTGCATTTCATATAGCGCTTTTCACGGCTTCTCGACGTCCCGAAGCGCTTCACAGAATATACTGTAAAGTGAATTGACCGTATATTTGTGGGCGAACGCGGCAGCCAATTGCGCACAGCAATGTCCCACAAACAGTCGTGGATTGAAAATGACCAATTTATTATTGTTTTGTTTTGGAGGGATTATTATTAGGCTCTGTGTGGAGTAAGGAAACTTGCCCAAGGTTTCGCCCTCTGCCTGGGATTGAACCCCAGGTCTCTCGCTCGCAAAGCGAGAGCTCTAACCACTGAGCCACAGAGACTCCGTGTCACCGTCTTCGTGACCACAGCTCAGGGACACCCTTTCAACAACAACAACAACAACGACAACAAGGTTACTTTTTGTACAGAGCCTTTCACGTCGGGAGGACGTCCCGAGGCGCTTTCCCACTGAACGACGGCTCCCGGCCGCCAGCGGCGGGGGTACAGCTTGAGGGAGCAGCAGCGGTTCGCCCCTCTGCTGCCGCACAAGCAACAACAACAACAACAACAAGATTCCATTTATAAAGCGCCTTTCACGTCAGGAGGACGTCCCGAGGCGCTGCACAGTTGGGTCAGCAGGGGGGGAAATGGTCAGGGTGAGGGGAGGGAAGGGAGGGGGCGAGGAGGGGGGAAATGGTGAGGGTAAGGGGAGGGAAGGGGCGAGGAGGGGGGAAATGATCAGGGTGAGGGGAGGGAGGGAGCGAGGAGGGGGGAAATGGTCAGGGTGAGGGGAGGGAGGGAGCGAGGAGGGGGGAAATGGTCAGGGTGAGGGGAGGGAAGGGAGGGGGCGAGGAGGGGGAAATGGTCAGGGGGAGGGGAGGGAAGGGAGGGGGCGAGGAGGGGGAAGAGAGTCGAGAGGGGAGCTGAAGGCTGAAGGTCAAAGAGAAAGGCTGAAGCGATGAATTCCGCGGCTTTTTTTAAAAAAAAATCGACGTTACCCGCCGCCTCTGCCGCTCTCACCCTCCGAACCAGGCAACGACTCCGCAGCCAGGACCCGGCCCGGTCCACCCACTGGCGGCCGCTGTACATGTCGATGAAGGCCGAGGCCCTGTGGGCGGGGAGGCTGACCACACAGCAGCAGCAGGAGGAGGAGGAGGAGGAGGCCGCCGCCGCCCGGGACCGGGTCCGCCCCGGGGCCTGGGGTTGCGGTCGGTGCCGATAGTGGAAACACGCGAAGCCGCCGCTCTCTGTGAACTGCGAGAAGTAATTCCTGAGGTCGGCGGAGCGCAGGGCGCGCGGGATGTCACAGACCGCCAGACAGACGCAGCCTCTCGCCGCCATCTTTGATCCTGGCGGAGCGCTGGCGGCACATGCGCACAGCTCGCCCGGCGGGGGCGGAAGGGGAGGGGTTGAACGGTACCATCTTTGATCCTGGCAAACAGGGCCGAATTGGCAACTTGTCTCTCGATCGCTGGGGGTGTACGTTAGTTTCTCTTTCCCGGCAGCGTCGTGAGACCCTTTGAACTCAAGGTCCGAAAACTTTGCACCTTGGAGTATTGGACAACATTTTTGAAAAAAAAAACTACACGATGTAAAATACTTGACATAAAATACCAGCGATGCCCGAGAGGGGGAATTGCAGTGCTGGGGGAGCGGCTATGCTGTCAGTGGTGCCAACCTTCAGATGAGACATGGGGGTGGGGTGGGGTCGGGGTCGGAGAGGGTCGAGGGCAGCGGGGGATGAAGATGACCGAAGGCGCGGTCTTCAAGGAGGCACGGCGGGAGGGGAAGAGGCGGAGGGACTGCGGGATGAAGGTCCAGCGGGCAGGGGCGGAGTGGGCAGAATAATAATAATAATAATAATAATCCTTGCATTTGATATAGCGCTTTTCACGTCGGGAGGACGTCCCAAAGCGCTTCACAGAACACACTGTAAAGTGAATTGACTGTATATTTGTGGGCAAACGCGGCAGCCAATTGCGCACAGCAATGTCCCACAAACAGTCGTAGATTGAAAATGACCAATTTATTATTGTTTTGGGTTTTGGAGGGATTATTATTAGGCTCTGTGTGGAGTAAAGAAACTTGCCCAAGGTTTCGCCCTGACCTGGAATTGAACTCAGGTCTCTCACTTGCAAAGCGAGTGCTCTAACCACTGAGCCACAGGACTCCAGAAGGCCCGCCCGTCAATGGTGGGGCGATCGAGGCGGGGGGATGGAGGCGGGGGATGTGTCGCAGGATGGAGCCCGCCGAGCAGAGGTTGGAAGTGGGTCAGGAGGTCGCGGTGGTAGGGGGAGCAAAGCCATGGAGAGCTTGGAAGGCGAGGACCAGGATCTTGAGCTGTATCCTGTGTGTGGTGGGAAAGCCAGTGGAGTCGGGACTTGTACAAGGTTAGCTCTCATCCAGCGCTTTGGGATGTCTTCCCGACATGAAAGGCGCTCTATAAGGGTAATTTTGTTGTTGACGTCTGACTTACAAACACAGTCACTATGCTTTATAGTAACTCCTGCAAAATCCCTTAAGGTATTTTGATAACTTCATAAGCTACTATATCTAATGCAAGTATTTTTTAATAAAAAAATAAAATGTGTAGTTTGATACAGCAATGTTGCATTTGGTTGCAGAATCATTGCTGCTTGGAGAGGGAGAGCGGCCGAGGTGGCCGGTGTTGATTTTTAAAGTCTCTGAATTCATTGCAATGGTGTATTTAAATTCCTTACTCAGTAATACCCAACATATGCAAAATACTTTTATTTATGATAAAAAATAAATTAATACAAAACAAATTGTTCACAAAATGGAGGAGGTAAAATCACAGAGGAAAAGGAGTAGATGAGAGAAGCAGCAGTACCCTAGCTGTTGATCTCACTCCCACCCCCGTTCTTCATTGCTTGGTGTAAAACATCTGGATAAGCAGCTGGTTTATTTCAGTGCTCCCAATCACAGGCCTGAAAAAGAGCTCAGTGACAACACCAGCGCTGATGGTTCTCAGTGCAGATACAGTGAGTAAGATAGGGGCTAAGCGGCTTGTATCCTTAGGTTGGAGGGGTACTAGGACCTCATGGAGCACTCGCTGGGCTTCCCTTTGCAGGCTCTGGACGTATAGAGTAGCTTGTAGTCCTGGCAGGTCTGGAAAGTACATTAATATAAGAATAATTATCCTGCATTTTAATAATAATAATCCTCGCATTTGATATAGCACCTTATCACAATCTTGAGACGTTTCACAGCACTTCACAGATTATACTAGAAAGTGAATTGATTGTATATTTTGTGGGCGAAACATACTCTTTTACACAGTCTTTATATGTTGAAAGTGTCAAAGTGCTTCACAGGTAATTGCTTTCTACTGCATATTTGTAGGCAAATAGAGACTTTACCAATCAAAGATAATATACAATAATCCTTGCATTTGATAATGCACTTAAATAATAATAATAACAATTGTATTTGATATAGCACCTTATGTCTTCGAGACGTCTCAAAGCGTTTCACAGAATATACTGTAAAGTGAATTGACTGGATATTTTGTGGGTGAAACGCGGCAGCCAATTGCGCACAGCAGTAGCCCAACATCATATCTTTGAAAAGTCTGTATAATTACTCTGTATTTTGTAGGTGAATACCACAGCAAATTTGCACACAGCGTGACTGGAGTGAATGACCGATTGTATTTGAGGGCTTGTTGGCTAGGACACTGGAAGAAACTCACTTCCCCTTTTTTGAATAGAATCATGGATCTTTATTGCCCATCAAAAAACAGAGAAATGGGACTGAGGTTTAACATCTCATCCGAAAGATGGCTCCTCAATTCAAGTGGAGGAACAAGCACCAGCACCACAAGGGCCAGATGACCTCTTTCTGCAAGTTCTTTAAATCTGTATCAAGGTCTGCAGGCCCTGCATGCATAGGCAGCACCAGAATAAACACCAGTACTCACCAGCACTGAAGAGAACAGCTCCCTTCAGGTAAGCAAACTCCTTGGGTGTTAGGTCCAAATCCCAGAACTTGTTCAGGCACAGTTTTATTCTCTGCACATCAGCTATGGAAGGTTGTGTACTCTCAGCTCCCACCACGCCAGGTAGCTCTTTTCCATTCAATAGGAGTCTTTTGAGCAAACTTTGCACTGGGATCTCAACTACCTCAAAATTCACTCCCTCCTGAGCCAATCCCAGCAGGAAGAGAGGGGCCCAGCATGACCCCAGCAGCAACAGCTGGTCCTCTTTGGGTAGATGGTGGAATGAAGGGAGATTCTGCATGAAACTGACCGTCTTCACGAGTACCTCAATGACTGTGGGACAGGTGATGTGGGGAGTCTTCAGACACACCGTCCTCTTGATTTGACAGGTACAGCTGTGATGAGAGAACTGGGAGTGTGGCTTGACAACAGCCTGCTGGCTGAGGATATTATAGAGGATTGCATTCCGTCCATACCTAGAGGCACAGTGGCACTTATCAAGCAACATGTTGACACAAGCCATGATCCGACCCTTAACTTCTCAAAATCCAGAAGCTCATCAGTGGCCCGACGGATTACTTAAAATCTGATTTTTTTTAAAACTTGAAATAAAACTACTAAGCACTTTGTTTCCAAGTCCAGGGTAATTGTATTGTACTGCACCCTACCATCCCTCAGCATAGAATCCTAACCACACACTGGTTTCCACAGTATTTATACAGAGTTTTCATTCAGTAAGTCAGATGACCTTGGCCTCAACCAACAGCCGCTTTCATTGAAAAACAAGCTGGCCATGACAAATTGGCTTGGAGATTGCCTCTACTCAGGCAGGCCACAGATAAGTTTCCTTCAATGAACCACAGCTCAGTGGGATTGAAGCACTCTTATCTAGATTATCTGATCTCATGTAGACAGCCTGTAAACACAGCCTGTAAACCCAACCTGTACCAGGCTGTCAAGGACTAGAGGTAATTACACACTGAGAACTCGTGTGTCAGTTAGGTTCAGTGGTAGCACTCTCTCCTCTGCGTCAGAAGGTTGTGGGTTCAAATCTCAGATTGGTACTTGAAATCATATAGTCTAAACTGACACTGTAATGCAGTTCTGGGGGAGTGTTGCATTTTTGGGGATGCCATCCTTCGGATGAGACTTTAAACTGAGGTACTGTCTTGTCTGCCTGTTCAGGTGAATGTTAAAGGCACTATTCGAAAAAAGAAGGGTCCCAGTGTCCTGACCAACAACTCCCCCAGATAAAACAATCATCGTTTCATGGCTGTTTGTGGGATATTGCTGTACACAATTGTGCTGCTGTGTTTACCTACAAATTCACAATCACTCCATAGTAATCCCTGTGAAGTGCTTTGAGACATCCTTCCGACATATGTTGCTAAACCAAATGCAAGATTATTATTAATATTAATAAAACCAGCAAACTACCGCCTGTCAGTTACAGAATGTAACTTCTGTCTATATTTAGATAAGATGTTTGCTGCCACACCTGAGGTAATGTGCTTGTAAACCAGAGTGAACCCATCTTGTGATGCAAACTATTCATTTTGAATGAAATTACTTAACTTACCGTTCTCTCACTCAGACACTAACTTATTTTCATTTTATTCATACCAGAAAGGCTCTACAGCTATTCCCCAAATGCTGGACCCTAACTGAGATTCATTATTGGTCTGGCCATTACTACATGTCTCCTCCCTGAATACGTTTGCTCAATCTCTTTGTAAGACTTTGCTTTGTATATTGTCTCAGAGGGTATAAAGGAAGAACCGGGTGTAGAATCTGCTCAGCTCATAATCTCTCCACCACCAGCCAATCCAGGTCAGGCCTCCCTCAACGCCAAGGCTGCAAATCATCTGGATAGGCCTGTGTTTTAGTGCATATAACCTGTCAGTGGTAGTTCACTCTTGCAAATTGATGTTGTTGTTGAAACCATCGCTATTGTCCTTGTAACTGGCTCATGCTTGTGTCAAATCCCTTCACTCTCTGGCACCTCCCTACCTCTCCGACCTCCTCCTCGCTCCCCATTCCACCATTCGGCGCCTCCGCTCGACTGGCACCGGCCTCCTGCTCGTCCCTCACACCCCATCGGCCCCACCATCGGAGGTCGCGCTTTCAGCCACTACACCCCAAAACTCTGGAACACTCTCCCTCAATCCCTCCCTCCCGCCTTGCCCCCCCCCCCCCCTTTCAAGTCCCGCCTAAAAACTTTCCTCTTCGACCGTGCTAACGGCCCCCCTCGCCCCCGGCTCGAGTCAGGCTCCAATACCGTTAAGCGCTCTGAGACGCTACCCTGCGTGGAGGGTGCCACATAAGTGCAAGTTGTTGTTGTTGGTGGTGTTTGGTTGTTGGGGCGCGATTGCTTGCTGCTATCTGAGGCGAGGTCGCTCAGGGCCTGATTGGTTTGCGGCCCTAGTTGATAGCTGGCACCCAGTTCAACACTGACTGATCGTACGTACATAACACTCCTCACCAGGATAACGTCTTGTGGGGTTGGTGGACGCGACACTGCATCGTTCCTGGGATGAGATGTTACTGTAATGTACATTGTGCCGAGGCAGCCTCATCAGGTGGGCGTTAACGATCCAGTGACACGATTGGACCAACAGAAGGGCACTCCTCTCAATGTGCTGAACAGCAATCAATTTAACAGTCACTTCTTGGAATGAAGCTCTCCGCGCAGCCCGTGTTTATGGGCCCGGTTGCTAAGGGCCCGGTTCCCGCGGCCGCCACCTGAAGCGGAGGGAAACCCTGGTCCCGCCCACTTTCCTCTGATTGGCGCGGCGTCGGGCGTCCCGCGAGCGCCGGTTGCTGATTGGCTCCTCGGACTGCCCGTCAGATCGCTGACCCCCCGGAGTCAGTGTTTCCGGGTCAGCACCGGCCTGCAGCGTGGAAGCATCCGAGCCGCACTCCGACAGACAGCCATGGGCGACTCGGCGAGTGAGGACCGCTTTGACGGGATTCTGCTCGCTATGGCGCAGCAGCACGAAGGAGGCGTCCATCAGGTGCTTAACGACGGAAGGAAAGGAAATCCTTTCAGTCCCGTACCTCACCCAGAGCTTCGGCAAAATGGCTGTGTCTGGTTGGTGGGCTGTTCGGAGGGGAAAAGGACTGTGTGGGTGAGGGGGGTGAGGACTGTGTGTGTGTGGGGGGGGAGAGAGGACAGTGTGGTGGTGGTGGTGGGGGGGGGCAAGAGATGACTGTGTGTAGTGGGGGGTGGGGGAAGGGAAGGACTGCGTATATGTGGGGGTTGTGTTATTTGTCACTGATGATAATAGTTTCCCTGTTTAATATTAAACAACATAAATGTTACTTCGGCTTATTCTCTCGTAGCTCGTGGACACCTTCTTCAGTTTCTTGAGACGTAAAACTGACTTCTTCACTGGTGGAGAGACCGGTGCAGCTGAAAAAGTGAGTTGCAGTTTGGTGTATGATCTCCCCTCTCCCACGCTTTTGATGGTTATACTCAACTATACCTTTTGAGAGAATGTTTGAAAGCACTTTACAAGGACTCAGGGACCTGCGCTGCGATAACGTGCAATTATATAGTGCCCTTCACACCGGGCGGACATACGGGAGGGCTGGTATAGGTGGCCGAGATTTTTATGCACGCAATGAAAACTCAGGAGAGGGATTTGGAAAGACAGTTCACAGAGTGGCGACAAAGTGTTGAAAGCTCTCACTGATGGTGTGGTGGAGCAGAGAGAGTGGCTGGGGCAGTAGGGTTGCAGGAGATCACAGAGATCAAGTGATGCAAGGCCTTGGCGACTTTTAAAGATGAGGATCTTAAAGTTGATCCTCAGTGGGGTAGAGAGCCAGCAGAGCTGCAAGACTTTGGGTTCACAGAGCCTAGTTGGGAGAAGACGTGTTGCTGGATTATCAGTCATTCAGTGCAGTGGTACTGGGCAGGGCCAGTAAACCTCTCGCCCCCTGTGTGAAATGTGAGAGATTTACTGGCCCAGTAGTTACACACAGTAGCAGGAACACACAGGAGACTTCAACCATGAGCCATCACCGTATAGAGCAATAGGTGTTGTGCAGCTGCACAGGATGAGATGATATATGTGCAGGTACCACAGGGAGAGGTGTGGGTTTTAGCCCCTCCTGTGGCAGGTGGAACAGACAGTTTTGTAGGTAACCGTTTATCACTGGTGATTTTTTTTCCCCCTCAGTTGGTCACTGAGACATTCAAACGTCACCACAAGTCAGCCACAGAGGCTCAGAAAGAGAAACAGGTAAAGCAAGAAAAAGAGAAGAAGGAGAATGCAGAAAGAGCTGCACGACTTGCTGAGGAGAAGAGAAAAGTGGAGCCGGAGCTGAAACAGCCGAAAATTCAGGAGCTGACAGAAGAGGAGGCGGAGAAGCTGCAAAGGGAGATTGACCAGGTGGAATGATCAATACTGGGCAGAAACCTCCTGGAGATCAGTGATGTGCCAGATTAATGCTGACCTTTTGTGAGCTGGTGCTCTTGTAGCCGAGAATTGCCTCTGGGGGTGGCAATTCATAAGTTCTGTCCCTGAAGTGCCCACGTGTCTCTGGGACCTACGTTCAGGCTCCTTCCCATCATCAACACTATAAACTAGAGAAACTTAGAGAATTACACAATCTTTGATTGTAATGTGTTGGGAAATGGATAGGAGGATTTCTTCTCTGATTAACCCACAGTTCCAGCAGAGAAAATATCCAGCCTATCCATAGCCTGAATATGGAGGTACTGCGGCTTGCAACCCAGCTGTTTTCTCCCAAGTTTCTTTGCTTTCCTGAAGTGAATTCTGGTTGCCTGTTTGACCTACCAAATGGCAGCACCCAAGTCTAGTTGGGGAGGGGGACAGGTATCTGTAAATGATTCATTCTTGGGGAACCTTCTTCCTAAGGAATGCAGCTTGATCCTGTGATTCACACTAGTATTGGCTGGGATTTTGCTCAGCCTCCCTGTTGTCTTGCCCAAACACACTGTTAGGATCTAACCACTTCCTATTTACTTTGTTTCAAATGTAGAAAAAGCAAGATGTACAAAATGCAGCAGAGACCAATGGAGAGGAGAGCCCAGCTATCCCTGAGCCCAAGCAGGTAATGTGCTGATGTGAAATGTAAAGTCACTCCAGGACATTTTATCTGCAAGTTTGGAAAATGTTCCAATTCCACAGTAAAATTATTCCAAAACAAACCCTTTTGTCTAACCACAAAGTTACTGAAATGCTGCTGATCTTCAGTGAAAGAAAAGTTTCAATTAACCTGAGCGTGATAGGTTTGGTCTTTTGTATTTAATGTTCTTGTCACTTTACAGACAGAATCGGACTCCGATGGGGAAGAAGATGAGAAAGATAAAGGGAAGCTGAAGCCTAACTCTGGGAATGGAGCAGATCTACCAAACTACCGCTGGACACAGAGTCTGTCAGAGGTGGATGTAAGTGGCACAGTCAGTCTCTCCCAGTATGTTCTGTTCATTTCATGCAGGCTCTTGATGCTAATCTTAAAGACTTTTCCACCCCTGAAAAAGCTGTTAATTTCTTGCCCTCTGCTTCCTCTCTCAATGAGGGCCTTTTTCGAAAATAATAATGATAATAAGCCTTGCATTTGATATAGTGCCTTATCGTGTCTTCGAGACATCTCAAAGCGCTTCAGAGAATATACTGTTAAGTGAATTTACTGTATACTTTGTCTGTGAAACTCGAAGCCATATTACGCTTAGTAGTGTCCCACAAACAGTCGTGGATTGAAAATGATATGAAGGTGTGATGGTATTATAGACGTGCCTAGTTCTGTTCCCTCTCTTGTCCCCACATGACTACGCAGCCATGTTGCGGGTTTTAAAGGAAGTGGAGAACTGCTGAGGTGCCTGAAGAGGTTTTGTATAAAATCTAGGGAGAAGAAGCCAAGGTTGGTATAATAAAACCAAGCACAAGGTCTGAGAAACGGGTAGTTACTCAGTCAGAAGATGGCTACGGAAACATTGCAAGGGAATAACCTCAATTTCTGGTTAAGTGCTTTGGGCAAAAAAAGTCTCAAATGTTTGGTCCTGGAAAGAGCAGATAGTGAATAACCGACTGACCTTCTGTTGTGTCCTGCTCCTAGCTCTTGATTCCATTCCAAGTCAACTTCCGGTTGAAAAGCCGAGACCTAATTGTGGAGATCCAAAGGCGCCATCTGAAAGTCGGACTGAAGGGGCATTCACTGGTGCTGGATGGGGAGCTGTACAATGATGTGAAAGTGGAGGAAAGCTCTTGGCTGCTGGAAGATGGCAAGAGCATCAACGTGCATTTAGAGAAGGTATGTTGGAGGGGAGAGGTGGAAGAGATGTGGGATAGGGTGGGCTGGAGCTAACGGAGGAGTAGGGAGGTCGTGTGGCCGATCTTCCTTTACTTTTGTGACTGCACGTTTGTTCTCCCGTGTTTCTGAGGAATGTTTTCGATTTCGTCATCAGATTAATAAAATGGAATGGTGGAATAAGATTGTGACAACAGACCCAGAAATCAACACAAAGAAAGTGAACCCAGAGAATTCAAAGGTAAGCACGCGGCAGAGTGAGTGCAACGACAACAACAAGTTGCATTTATATAGAATCTTTCACAGCGGGAGGACGTCCAAGTGCAGTGTAAAAGAGCAAAATACTGGGATCCCATGACGTGAGCAGGAGCTTGTATGTATGTCCTGGAGTCCTGTAGCTCAGTGGTTAGAGCGCTCGTTTTGCAAGCGAGAGACCTGAGTTGAATTCCAGGCAGAGGGTGAAACCTTGGGCAAGTTTCCTTACTCCACACGCCTAATAATCCCTCCAAAACCCAAAACAATAATAAATTGGTCATTTTCAATCTACGACTGTTTGTGGGACATTGCTGTGCGCAATTGGCTGCCGCGTTCGCCCACAAATATACAGTCAATTCACTTTACAATGTATTCTGTGAAGCGCTTTGGAACGTCCTCCCGACGTGAAAGGCGCTATATCAAATTCAAAGATTATTATGTGAGTCTGCCGCAATGCCGGTGTGTGTGTGTGTGTGTGTGTGGGACTGATCTCTTGATGCCTCTCCTTATGTCCCTGCAGCTTTCAGACCTGGATAGTGAGACGCGCAGCATGGTTGAGAAGATGATGTATGACCAACGACAGAAAGCAATGGGGCTGCCCACTTCCGAGGAACAGAAAAAACAAGATATTCTCAAAAAGTAAGTGCTGCATTTGCATAGTCATTTTAGAAAGCCTGTGCAAACTTTTCATTGGCACTTTCCAGGGTAAGTGTAAATAACTGAATGTGTGTGTTTTTTTTGGGTGGGGGTGGCAGGAGTTAGCAGGTGCATTATGTGGGGCCGGGTGGTTGGTGTGTTTAAATTTGAAGGGACTTAGATTTACGCAACTGCCCAGTTTGAGGTTTAGTGAACCTCAGGAAGACTAAATAGAGTGGTTTCATGTTGCCAAGAGTCTGAGGGTTTGTAAAGAATCAAAAGAGTAACATAATAAATTTTCAATCTTTGGAGAATCTGACCTCTCCTCCACGTGGAGCATTTCCCAGTCAAGTTGATCAATATCCATGTGTTGCAATATTATTTTTCAAAATCCAGGTGACCAGATAAGCCAAAAATGAACTTCCAAGGCCTGACCTTGGTTTTTCTCTGATTACCCAATTGTATTTGTTCTAAATAAAATGAATGGTTGGTTGTATTTTTGACTTTGATCAGCTCTGACCAGCTCCATTCTCCCACCTCTCTCCAAGTGAATGACAGTAGTTAAGTTGGTCTCTGATTATCTGCATGTGTTATTGGTTGTCACGTACTGGCCCTTTGGGAGTAAGTGGCTTCTCAATTGCAGCTGAAAATGTCACTGTCACTGATCGGGACATCACTGTGAGTAGAAATTTTCAACCCCACATCATGTAGAAATGGATAAGCCATTCAGCTCCTTGAGCCTATAAGATCATGGCTGATCTGTACTTCAAGTCCAATTACCTGCCCTTGCCCTGTATCCCTTTATACCCTGACCTAACAAATAGTTATCAACCTAAGGTGTGACAATAAAATTATACATTTATAAACCTCCATAGTATGTAAATCATGCTGGAGTAGATAGCGCTATTCCACACCTATGAGACGTTTGTATGTTTTATGTCTGCTGCGTGAGCAGCAACTAATCTTTGTGTTTAACTCTTACAGGTTCATGGAGCAACACCCAGAGATGGACTTCTCAAAAGCGAAGTTCAGTTAAAGGTGTCTTAACCTCTTTAGGGACAAGGGGAAAACAATAATTATTTAAGAGTTTCACAGATTTCTACTGAACACCCTCTGAGCTGAGCTTTGTCCCACTTGTGCATCTTGTCGTCCAGGTTACTCACTGAAGGTGCATGTTTCTCGTCTCGTCTGGGCAGCAGACTGATAGCTGCAGGGCAGTCCCCCAGCTTCTCCAAGCAGCTTGTGCGATCAGCTCCATCTATGTGTTTCCTGATGTATACAGGGCACTGAGTTTGACCCAAGCGGGTGATGCGGTTTCCCAGCTGTAAACACAACTGAACCTTTCATTATCTTCTTCCTTACTGGAGATGAACCAGAGAGTACTGAGGGAGACTTGAGCCCTCAGTCCACTAAGCTTATTTATTCCAGTGTTTACCATTGTGCCTCTATAACTCTTTTCCAATAAATATATCTGTGTTTATGTGTGAGATCTACCCCGCTTAGCAAGGATTAGAATCCAGTGATCCCCTTCACCATTGATAGTGAGGATGCTCTAGACCTTGGTCTTATACAGTTGTGCAGCTAGTAATGTACAACAGTAGCTTTCATTTCCCTTCACCCATTCTCTGGTTGCTTCTCATTTTGAATTTGAACCTCCCTGGTGTGTTCGTACCAGTAAGAAATTCCTTCTACTCGTGTATTGAAATGATTCAGTGAGTTCTATGCAAATTCCATCGAGCTAACTGCCTGCTGGGTTGTTGTTGGCTGCCGTCTCCTGTTCGGTTCTATTGTTGGAAAACTGTTTCCTCCCTCTCATGTGTTGGTTGCTCCCTAGCTGCCCTGGCTGTGCTAAGAGGTTTTTCATCCTTTGTTGGCATCCTTTGAAGGTTAGTTTAAAGATTGAGGTCATTGCTCTCCATTTCTTTGTCCCAATGTTTCCCAGTCAATAACACTGACTGGCTAACGCAGTGGGCATTGGTAGGACATCCTTGTCCACTATTAACATTTTTTTAAAGTTTGTTTTCATTGATGAACTTCCAGAACATTCATCTCAATAAACCTGATCTGCAGTTCTTGTATTGATTGATTTTTTTCCCTCTCTATGTGTACTCTCATCATAGAACATTCTAGAACATCTCTCCTCCAATTGTCAAAACTATTTCGCGTTTCCTCTAGTTGCCGAATTAACAATAACATACTTGTCATTGACCCCCTTTTTAATTTCATGGAAATTTGACACAAGGTTTAACTGAAGGTTATATCTCAATAAGAACATGAAGATTTTACTGTGGAGCAGAGGTCATCCATTGTTGCCTGGCAACATGTGGGTATTAGTGCTGAGGGTCCTAAGTCTACCTGGTGATGTTTTTTAAAATGAGAAGTGCTCGGGGAACCTGATATTTGTATGAAACACAAAAATCTAATCAAAGGACATCAGCTGGCAGCTTGTCTGTTTTCCACAAGCAATGGAAGGTCATAATACCTCTAGAATTGATTGAGGTAAAGGGGTGGGGGGGGGGGGGCGTGTGAACTGGTGGTGTATAGGCAGCTCCCTAACTGTTAAAGCTCACCCTGCATGCTCAGGCCTGGGCTTGACACAATTGACTGGGAGCCTGAGCTTGGGGGGAGGGGGTAAGAAGGAGCCCAACAAACATGGTGAAAGCAATCCATCTTAAATGAGGTTTTGAAGATGGGTGAAAGGATTCCTGCATGGCGTTCCAAAGAACAGCTTAGCCCACCTCAATAGCTGGTGTTGGGTGAGGGTCTCGGGCAGGGGCATGAAGCAGGCCAGGTGGGCAGCTGCCTAGTCTGCAATCAACTGGTGCAACCGTGGGGGCGGGGGGATGTAACACAAGGCTTCCCCCACCTCTGGAACGGCAGTCCACAACCAACAACAGCAGCATTTAAATAGCATCCTTCACATAGGATGTCTCGGAGTGCTGGAAGTCAGAAGAGAGCAGCTTGTGATAGATTGTTAATGGAAATCATTTCTGAGCACAGTCGGATTTTCCCAGGATCATTTGTGCTAACATCTTGGAGCTTGATGCTGACAGAGGAACCATTTGCTTCCCCAGCACGGCGTCAGCCTTTTTCCTAGGCCATATTCAGCTGGGAAACATCCCTTGTCCAACTCAGCCATTCCTGAGGAAAGGAACCCAGGTTGAGCTCAAAGCACATTCAGATAATGGGTGTAATGAGGTTATTTATACTTCAGTGGAAGTTGGTGAATGACCCTTGGACCAACAGTTGAACGATTGGAGCGCAGAGCCTGTCCTTGTGCTAATCAGCCACCTGAATACCGATGAACCGCAAACTGGGGAAAACAAGTTCGATTACTTCCTTTGCCAATCATTAAACAAACAGCTATGACTCCTGTGACTCCACTGAATGAGACGGAGCACAACCAACAGCTCCATTAGAACCTTAGATATTTTGCAGCACAGAAGGAAGACGTGGTCCATTGTGTCTGTCTGGCTCAGAGTAATCCTCAAGGGCAATCATTTCAGTCCCACTCTCCCAACTCATACTCCAGTTGCTGACTCTATTTAAGATACTTGTCTCATTCCCCCTTGAAAGTCAATATGGATTTTGCCTCAACCAATGCTCCTCAGTGGCACCGGCATTTTCTCAGAAACAGCCAGGAGGAAAGTCCAAGTTACATGGAGGATAATTGGTTAGGATACTAGATAAAAATCTCTTTTCCAATACCGTCATAAGATCTTTAACATGCAGACAGGTCCTCGGTTTAACAGCTCATCCAAGTACGGCACCTCCAACAATGCAGCGCTCCCATTGCACTTTACTGAAGCATCAGCCTAGACTGTTACATTACACAATCAAGAGATTTGAACCTACAACCTTCTGACCTGGAGGCCAGAGCATGATTGACTGAACTCGGATGGCACGGTGGGGAGAAGTGCATGTGAAGAATGAAAGTCCAACTCGGAATAAATGTGGGGCTGCAGCTGTATAGCAAACTGGTCTTATTCTGTGGTTATGCCTCGCTGGCATCCAACTTAAGAGGCTGCAGATGAAAGCTTAGCTTTTATTGAAGGTTTCAGTGGTACATTATTTTCCACATTCCAGGTGGAGTTAGAATTCCTGCTTTAAAATAAAAGGCACCAAATTAAAAACCTCCTAGCTTCTGGAGGTTAAAGAAACTGTACAATCTCAATGGACCCCAGCAGCCCCTCCCCCAGTACCAGACAGAAAATTTCATCAATTATTTACAACGCTTCTCTCCCTCCGCCCCCGGCTGTCCCACTCCCCTCTTGCAGTCCTCTCCTCCAGGCACTTCCTGGACACAGCCCTCTGGCTGGGTCACCAGAAGTAAGGCATCGTTCTTGTAACAGGCTCCAAGACACAACCGGCGTGACTGGGACCGGGTCTGCTCCGTGCAACAGCTCAGACACAGCATTTGCAGCCCCGCGGAACCAAGGTGCAGGGCTCCTCTATTCATAGAGATGTTCTCTCACACCCTGGGAAGCAGCGATGGAGTCTATTATATCTATTTTCAGTAGCTTGTGGATCCTCATCCCATGGCTTTCAGATTCCTTTGTTCCCGGTGGTGGGTGTATGTGGTGGCTAATTACACATGGAGCAGTGGTGCTCCGGAGGAGTCCGTCTCCGTGTCCTGAAGAGACTCATCTTTAGGAGAGCGCGATCCTAGAAAACAACAGGACCAGCATCAAGTCAGATACCACACAACATGCCCCCGCCACAGCTCCTAGTCCTGTGAGAAGCTTCCCCCCACCTCACCTCCGCCCCCACCCTGTAGCAATTCTGTTATTACCTACCCTCTCTGCCCTCCACTCTCCCGGATCCTAAACCTCCTCCCACCGCTCGGGTCCTAATTCCTAATCCTGACTGTTCAGTGCCTTGGGACATGAAAGGCGCTTTACAAATGTAATTTTGTATTGTACCTCTAAGAGTCTGTGGCATGTTCCGCACTATAACGTCCAACGAGTCCTCCACCGAGATCTTCAGAGTCAGGTCTACCTCAAAGAGACAAACTGATTACAACAACACCCCACTCTCCCCTCCCCTTTCCCCCCCCTCCCCCATTGCATCAAGCATATCTCTATTCTGAGGCTGAGTCCAATCATTCATTTCTAAGGGAATTAGATGAATGTTACAAGGGTGTGAGGGAAGCGATCGGGGAGTGGGACTGGTCTCAGTAGCTCATATAGAGGAAAGGATATTCTGTGAAGCCCTTTGAGATGTCTCAACCGCACGATAAGGCGCTATATGGGGAGTATATGAGTCCCGCCTCAAAACCCTCCTCTTTGACCATGCCATCGGTCACCCCCTGCCCCTCCTCTCCCTTCTGCCCCCTGACCCCAGCTCAGGTCTGAAATGCTGTGCAGTGTCCAGCGCCTTGGGACATCCTCCCGACATGAAAGGCGTTATACAAATGTAATCTTGTTGTTGTAAGCAGATCGGGGAGGTAGGGAGGTGAAAGGGCGTGAAGGCATATCTAATGTAAGGATTAGTATTATTTTTATAAAGCATTAGCACAGACGGGATTAACCAAATGGCCCAGTTATGTGCTGCAGCACTCTGAGGTTTAGTGACTACACCAGGAGTCAGCCCACTGACTGGTGAAATATTTAGTGCAGGAAGAAGGGACAGACTCACCATCTGTGCTATTGTGGAACTCGCTGATCTGGGTTTTCAGGTCGGAGTGGTGGGAGCGGCTTTGACCTCGATCACTTCTGGTTCCAGGACCTTGGGTTTCTTCTTGGCTTTGCGTGTGCTGATGCGGACAATGCCAGTTACAATGCGGCACTCGGCCACTTTCTCGTCGATCTTGTAGTCCTTGGTGATGCTGTCGATCAGCTCGGTTATCTCGCTGCTCTTACTGATGAAGGTGGTGTCGGAGGTGCACTGAGCCAACATGTTTATCTGGTGCATACTGAAGAGCTCCAGCAGCTTCTTATTAATGTAATCATCCAGCTCGGCGCTGGACATCGAGACGTTCAGAGTATTATTCTCTAGGTCCTCGTCGAAATAGGAGGGGAACTCGTCTGAGGCGAGCTTGTCACAGGAGGGGAGTGTGCTCACGGGGCTCTCCGACTTCCCAGAGATACACGTAGTCGCGTCCTTATGGCAGGAGTCTGTGGACCTGCTCCCCACACGCCACGGAATCTGTTGCCCCCGAAACTTCACGTCATAATAATTGAAGCTGCTGCCTCCCAGGTTGGGTTTGTTTTGGCTGGGTGCCGGGTTTAGGGGGATTCCACATGTGGGGTTCGTATACCTGGGTCCGTGGTTTTCAACGTGCTTCCCGTCAGTGGAAGATTCTGAGCTCTCGATGCAAGGAACATAATCCCCTCTGCAGACCCCACACGTCACCACGCAGCACACAGCAGCTCTCAGTGTCTGCCACATGGAGCAGACGCGGGACACACACCCGCCACAACCATCGAGGTGCTCCGAGCTGCCCGCCGTGCCCGGGATAAACCCAATGTTCTCCGAGTTATTCCCATTGGAATCTCTGGCATCTGCTTTGTAGCTGCGAGATTTCCCAATGGCTCCTCTGTCCGGTCGCCTGAAGGGTTTTTTCACTGCTCGGTGAATCTCTGGGGTTGTCCTATCGTAAGCTTCCAAACTCAGGGACTCGACGGAGCCGGGGGAAAGCGCTGAACGGCCCAAACCATCTGTCAAATGGTGTCCATATTGCCCTGGTGTGGCTCGCCTCCCAGTTCCAGCCATGGCTCAGTCATTGAGTAAAGGGCCTGGTGGGAGAGAGCAAATATTCATAGTATCCACAATTATTAGTAGCCATCNAAAAAATCCCTCCCCTAAAAAATAATAATTATTTGTCTCTCAATCCATGACTGTTTGCTGTGCACAATTGGCCGCCACGTTTCACTCACAAAATATAGTCACTTCATTTTACAATATATTCTGTGAAGCGCTTTGAGATGCCTCAACAACGGCACTGTATAAAAAAGAGGGTTATTATGGAAGTTGATATTCATCCCAATGGTCACTATCTCTCCCCACCCGCTGCCCCCAACTGCTCTGGCTTCACCAGCACCCAGGTAGATAAGTTACCGGGGACAGGATTTGTCCCACCCGGTCACTATACAAGACAACCAACAGGAAGGTTGCAGAAAGCTAACCAGCATCTTGCACTTTGGGTTCCTAATACTTTGGCTTCTACCAATGCTGCACCTGTGGATGTTGAAGCCCAGGCAAGCAGGGCGTGTGTTACTGCATGCACGCGTGTGTGTATACACACATGAAATTTCCTAACTCCATGCGACCAGAACAGAATTGTACACTCCAGAACTGAAGCACAGATGCTCCACACTCTCTGCAGGTGGAACAGGCGAGAGTGGGTCCCACATCTCACCCCCTGGCAGGGTTAGGCTGGGCTCTGCCTTGAGATACCAACACAGTAGCCTCTCTGACTGTCACAAGAAAACAGGAAGTCACAGGGTGCTTATAAAATACATGAACACAGTCATTTATTGTTTGTGTATTCTATAACTGGAAGCTGACAGAGAGAGGGCTCACTGTACATTGTTCCATTAGCTAGAACATGGACAAGATTTCCACACAACACTGACACATCAAACTCCATATCCTCCTTTCTCCTTCCTTAAACGTAATGCCTTCACAGAGCAGTTCAGTGCTGCTGGGTGGCACAGAACGACTACTCACTACTACTGATAAACACCCTGAGGTCAGTAACAATTTAGGGAGTTTCTGAATCAAGAAAGCAAACTTAGTTTGGAGTCAAAGGAATGAGTAACACACACACACACACTCACACAGTGACAGTAAAACACACTTAAATGATGCCGAACCAATGACTAGGTTTGTACTCAGACCCCATAGCTGGGGGCCCTGTTATCGGCCCCTGTTCCCTGCCACCCTAGCCCCAGCCCTGGGAGGCTGAGAGATGCCAAGTTCTATTGCTCAAAAAATAAATGGCCACAACGACAGTGCTGTGTACAAAGGGAGTGTGAGGCATGAATCACATGTTGGATTTTATCTGGTCCCAATGCAGTGCTCCACTACTCTACCAACAACAACAAATTGCTTTTATGCAGCGCCTTTCACATCAGGAGGACATCTCAAGACACTGGACAGTGAAGGCTTTGCACCTGAATTGGGGTTGGAATCAAGGGGAGTGGAGGGCAATGGGGATGGGGGTGGAAAGAAGGCACGAGGGAAGATGGTCGAAGAGGAAGATCTTGAGACGGGCCTTGAAGGAGGCAACAAAGAGGGCAAAAATGGTGGTGGCAAAAAGGCCAATGGTGGAGTGAGCAGGGCAGGAACATGGAGCAGGCCAATACCTGTCAAGCCAATGGGGACGGGCAAGGATGGGATGATTGGCTCACTGAGGTTAGTGTGGGAGATGACACGAGCTGCAGATTTCTGAAATAATCTGCGGCGGGAAGAGTTGGGAAGTTCGGCAAGCAGGTAGTTTGCAAGACCTGCATGACGGCCTCAGTAGCCTGAGGGGCGAGGTAGTGGCGGAGACGAGTGATAAAGCTGATGCCTCTTGAATCGGAGCCGATCTGATACACGCAGGAGAAACAAAGAAATAGAAACAAAGAAACCTACATCGCAGAAGGAGGCCATTTGGTCCATCAAATCTGCACTGGATCACAGAACCAAGATTGTTTTAGTCCCACTGCTCTGCCTTATCCCCATTACTGCCACTCTGCTCCCACCCTCTGGAACTCGATCCCTCAGTCGCTCCATCTCGCCCCCTCCTTCGCCACCTTCAAGACCCATCTCAAGACCCTCCTCTTCGACTGTGTTTTTGATCTCTCTGCTTCCCCCCCGCCCACCCCAACCCTTAGCTCAGGTCCGCAACTCTGTCCAGCGCCTTGGGACGTACTCCTGACGTGAAAGGTGCTATATAAATATAATTTTGTTGTTGTTGAAACCCCTCTCTATCATAAGTCTGTCTACTGCCCTCTTGAAAACTACAATGGTCTCCGCCTTCACTCTCTCACCCAACTCGGGGGTATGTTCCACTCCCCAACTACTCTCCAGGTGAAAACATTCCTCCTAAATTCTCCTTTCACTATTCTTGTGACTATGTTGTGACTGTGTCTCCTAGTCACTGACTCCCCTATCAATGGAAATAACTCTCCCTATTTACCCTAGCAAAACCCATCATATTTGTGCCCACCTCTATCAGGTATCCCCTCCCCACTCAACTTTCTCTTCTTTAATAAAAAGTTGTGTGCATCCTCTCCGTGTGCTTTGTGATTCAAACCCAAATCTGAGAGCATTATTGCACCCCCTCCCAATGGGAGAAAATATTTCCACTGATCAGTGAGTCAGTAACTGACCCTAGATAACATGCAAAGGAAAGTTACTAGGATGATACAGAGAAAAGTGGTTTAACCTCAACCTGTCTAATCTATGAGCAGAGACTGGAGGAAGTGGGTCTATCTTCACTGGAACAGAGTTTAAGTTAATTAACAAAGAAGCAAAGAGGGGGATTTGGAGGTTTTTTTTTACAACAGGATGTGGGTGCAGTGGTCAAGGCAGGAACCATAATAATAATCCTTGTATTTGATATAGTGCCTTATCACATCTTTGAGATGTTTGCTTCATAGAATATACTGTAAAGTGAATTGACTGTATATTTTGTGGGCGAAACGTGGCGGCCAATTGTGCATGGCAGAATCTCACAAACAGTCGTGGACTGAGTGACAAAATTATTATTTTTTTTAAATTTGAAGCAGGATTATTACCCCCAATCGACTAACCACCGGGTTCCTACTTACCGCTAGATAAACAGAGGCTTGTGGAGTAAGGAAACTCGCCTAATGTTTCGCCCTACCTGGGATTCGAAACCCAGGTCCTCTTGCTTGCGAGCCAAGTGTTCTAACCAATATACCACAGGACTCCACAAATAACAAGCTTTCGAGGAGGAACAAAAACGGACTTTTACACATTCCTCGTCCCCTCTGCTCCACTATCAGTGGTCGTAATTTCACCCACTACAGCCTAAACTCTGGAACTCTGCCTCAATCTCTCTGCATTCCCCCTCCTTGCCCGTCTTCAAATCGCACCTGAAGACTTTCCTTTTCGTCCGTGCTGACTGTCACCTCCCCATTCTCCCCGGCCCAGCTTCAGGCTCCGCCACTCTGAATCACTTTGAGATCCCATCTGTCTAAAGAGTGCTATATAAATGCAAGTTGTTGTTGTGGTAGAAATATATCCAAAAAGAAGTAATTTGTAAGGATTTCGGGAAAAGGCAAATTAAATGGGCCGAATTATTTCCTCTTTCAAACAGCAACAGACACAGTAGACCGAATGCCTTCTGTGCTCTGAATTTGTATGGTTCTCTGAATCTATAGCTCTGGATGTAAATATTTTAGAATTCCAGTCGAACACCCACCTGCACAGAGACTGAGCGAAGAAAATCCCAAAGTTCTGCCAGACAGGAAAACAATTTCACAGAGAGAGAGAGAGAGAGAGAGTGGAGTTTCTAGTCAATGCTACTTCAGCTCCATTTCCAGCTACAAAAATCAAGCTAACCCCTTTCTCACAGAACCGGTTTTTAATGACTAAGATATTTCTGCAGCTTGTGCACAGCCCGGAGCAGAGAAAAACTGCCCAGCATTGCTTCACCAACATATTGGGGGTTGGGATCAGGAGGGATGGAGAGCAGGGAGCGTGGAGGCACAGGAGGGTGAAGAGGACCATCTTGAGACGGGCCTTGAAGGAGCCCACGCAGGGAGAGAGGCGAAGGAACTGTGGAAGGAGCCCCAAAGACCTGACTCACCCTGTCCTGGTTCGCCCGATAATGTCCAGCACAGACCCACCTCCCAGTCTGACCCAAAGTATTAAACTTGTTAATATGGGTTCGTTTTGAAGAGGGCAAAATTCTAGATGGTGTAGGTTCCAGGTCCAATGGTTAAAACAAGAATGATCTGTACCAAAACCCACAAACTTGAAGCAATTGGTGATCAGCAACACAAACAACTTGCACTCGCCCTCCACGCGGGGTAGTGTCTCAGAGCACTTGTTGATATGGCTTCTCTGGTGCTGACAGTATCAGTACCAGTATGATACCAGTGCCACCTTGAAGGAGAGCACAAGCCTGGGCAGGTGACCAAAAAAGCACTTGAACTGGGTCAGAGACATGCAGTTGGAACACAACACCACCACCACATTACATTTGTATCGGGCCTTTCACATCGGGAGGTCGTCCCAAGGCACTGGACAGTCAGGAATTTGGACCTGAGCTGGGGGTTGGGATCACAAGAGTTGAAGGGCGGGGTGGTTAAGGGTGGGAGGGTGACCGAAAGGAACGGCCAAAGAGGAGGGCCTTGAGACAGGCCTTGAAGGAGGCAAGAGAGGGAGCGAGGCGAAGAGACATTGGGATGGAGCTCCAAAGAGAGAAGTTGCCGATTTTGGAGTGGGACGGGCGGGGTGGGGGGGGGGTTGAGAGGTCGTGGAGCAGGCCCGAGCCCACTCAGCGGAGGGAGAACACAAATATACAGTCAATTTACTTTACAGCATATTCTGTGAAGCTCCTGGAGGCGTCCAGAAGATGTGAAAAAGCGCTCTATCAAATGCAAGGATTATTATTATTATTATTACTATTGACACCCGGTGAAAAGGGGAGCAGAGGTTTGTAAATTGCTGCGACTGTCTGGCGGTTTGATCGTTCCAGCGGGTACTATCGCCAGTCGGACTCTCTCGCGTGCTCTCACATCATCCTCATGATTTCAAGGTCTGAAAGTCAACCAGCCTCTGATTTTTTTTTCCCCTCCACCGCAACAAGGGAACGGAGCGAGCCTGGAATACCGGGCCCACCCCCCCCACCCCAACCCCCCCCCCCCCCCGATTGGGGACCGGATACGTTCCGCAGATTGAAAACGGATTGCGCGGAAAGGGACTTAAGCTTTGGTGGTCTGAGCGGTCAACTGACGACTGACAGGACAAAGCTTCCCGGCTGAGAGGTGCCACAGGTGAGATGTCAAACAGATTAGACTGAGCAGATACAGGAAGCAGCAAAGCGCCCGTATTACTGGGGCCACAGAGAAAAGGAAAGGGGGTTAAACTCTGGAGATAAACGCACATACCCCTGGGGGGTGGTATGGGGGGGGGGGAGAGACACAGTCAGGGGACAACACTGACCCCCCCCCACCCCAAAGGCGAGTTAATGGTTTGATTGATTAGAAGAGGATGTTCTGAGCTTTCCCAACAATATCACAAGGTGACTAACCGCTGATTAACAACAACTGGCATTAGCCGGACACACTGCCCCCCACACACTGCCCCACGCGCACACACACCCCCCCACACACTGCCCCACACACACACCCCCACACACCGCCCCACACACACACACTGCCCCACACACACACCCCCCCACACACACACTGCCCCCCACACACACCCCCACACACACTGCCCCCCACACACACACTGCCCCCCACACACACACTGCCCCCCCACACACTGCCCCCCACACACACACTGCCCCACACACACCCAGACACCACCCACACACACACACACCCCCACACACACACTGCCCCACACACACACACGCCCCCACACACTGCCCCTCACACACACACTGCCCCCCCACACACTGCCCCCCACACACACCCCCACACACACTGCCCCCACACACACACCCCCCCACACACACACCCCCACACACACCCAGACACCACCCCCTCCCACACACACCCCCACACACACTGCCCCCCACACACACACCCTCACACACACACTGCCCCCCACACACACACCCAGACACCACCCCCTCACACACACACTGCCCCCACACACACCCAGACACCACCCCTCACACACACACTGCCCCACACACACACCCCCACACACACACACACCCACACACACCCTCACACACACTGCCCCACACACACACACCCCCACACACCCAGACACCACCCCCTCACACACACCCCCTCCCACACACACACACACTCCCCCACACACCCACTCCCACATCCTCCCACACACAGACTCCCCCCCACACACACACACCCTCCCCCTCCTACACACTCCCCCAAACACCCACTCCCACACACACACACACTCCCCACACACCACCCCTCCCACACTCCCCCACCACACACCCCCACACACCACCCCCCACACACACCACCCCACACACACCCCCACACACTGCCCCCACACATCCTCCCACACACACTCCCACACACACACACTCCCCCTCCCACACACTCCCCCACACACACACTCCTCCCACACACACACTCCCCCACACACACACACACACTCCCCCACACACACACACCCCACACACCACCCCCCGCCCACACACACCCCCCACACACCCCCTCCCACACACACACACACACAGACCCCCCCCCCCCCCCCCCCCCGGCCACCGAGAAAACTACTCTTTGTCAAAAACTTTCCCCCTTATAACTCATATAACGAATTGAAATAAAAAAAGTTGAGGGTGTGGGGGAGAGGTTCAAACAACAGCCGGTGACCCCCCCACACCCCCCCCCCCTCCCCCCCCACACCACACCCCCCCCTCCCCCCCCCCCCCCCCCCCCACACACACCCCCCCACAGTGACTGAGCCGCGGGAGGCGCCGGGACTGAGGCCGAGACTTACGGTCCTGACGGTCTGAGCGGCGTCTGGACCCCGGGGGTGACCCCCCCCACAGCCTCCGGGGGCGGGTGGGGGGGTGGGGGGGTGTGGGGGGTGTGTGCGGCTCCGCTCCGCGGCCGCTTTACCTGCGCCAGGTGAGCGCTGACGTCACGCGGGAGCGAAAGGAGAGCGAATCGCGGAGACTCGCGATCCCCCCCTTTGGGCTAAACAGCGCCCACTCACCTGTCTCTGTCAACTGGGGGCGGGGGGGGGGGTGACATCTTCCAACCCACACCTGACCCCCCCCCACTCCCCCCCCCACACACACACACACACACAGACACAACAACAACAACAACAACAAATTAGAGGGCGCCTTTCATGTCCGGAGGGCGTCCCGAGGCGCTGGACGCTCAGCGGCGGTTTGGCCCCCGACCCGGCGGCTTGGGAATCAGGAGGGGGTGGCGGGCGAGGGAGGGTGAAGGATGGGGGGCAAAGGGGGTGAAGGGGGCAAAGGGGGAGGGCGATCGGAGGGGCAGTCGACAGGAGGGTCTTGAGACGTACCCGAAGGGAGGCAAGGGAGGGGGTGGGGGAGCGGTGGGGGGTGGGGGAGGCGGTGGGGGTGGAGGGGGTTGGGGAGGCGGTGGTGGGGGGGGGGGTGGGGGAGGGGAGGGGGTGGGGGAGGCGGTGGGGGGGGGAGGGGGTGGGGGAGGCGGTGGGGGGGGGAGGTGGTGGGGGGTGGGGGCGAGACGGAGGGACTGCGGGATGGAGTTCCAAAGGGTGGGGGGTCGGGGCCGCGGAGAGGCTGAAGGCCATAAAACAACGACGGCACCAGCTCCCAGGTCCCGCCATGGCTCGGCCGTGAGTAAATTATTATTATTATTATTATTATAAAGGACCTGGAGAGAGAGCGAGAGAGAGAGAGAGCAAACACCCACAGCGGCCGCAATTATTAGTAGCTACAAAAAAATCCCTCCTCCCCCCCCCCACCTCATAAATAATAATAATTATAATAATAACGATAATAATTTGGTCGCTCACTGCATGAATGTTCGTGGGACGCTGCTGTGCGCGATCGGCTGTCGTTATTTGCGCACCAAATATGCACAGTCACTTCACTTTACAGCATATTCCGCGAAGCGCTTTGACATGTCTCCAGGACGTGATAAGGCGCGATATCCGGTGCAAGGATTAGTATTATTATTATTATTATTATTATTCACAACAACAATAATAATCTTTATTCTGGATACAGCGCTGAGCATACAACAACAACAACAACAACAACAACAACAACACGAGTACGTTTGTATAGCGCCTGAATAATACGAACCTTAACAATAATAATAATAATAAAATTCCTTGCATTTGATATAGCACCTTATCACCTTCGAGACGTCTCAAAGCGCTTCACAGAATATCCTGTAAAGCGTAGTAGACTGTTTTATTATTTTGAAACAGTTTCGTCGGTGGGAAAGTTGCCATTGTCGGGGCTCTGCGGATGATGATGATGATTATTATAATGATAATAATTATTATTATCTCCACAGGCCATTCCCGCAGTGAGCATGACCGCTGGGGGTGGGTTTGCGGCCTCTCGCTTTCCATGCTCCAATGTCAGCCTTCCCACTGGTGCCCGCCTCCCCCTCCCACCCCCACCCCCCCCCCCACACACACACACACACACTGCCCATATCCTATGCTCTAATCGTCCCTGAGTTCTGCTGTTATGTTACCCACTAAAATCGGGGGCGAGAGGGAATCTGATGTCCAGCAGCAGACAGTCAGCCCCCGTTTTATCGGGAACGAAATTGCCACTCTCAAGGCTCGGAAGATGTGGTTTTGAGATCTAAAGTAAAGACAACACAAGTTTCACCCCATGTGCCCACCCGCACACTCGCCCTTCAGGGTTACGTACTTGGTTCAGATAATCTCAGTCTCCTTTAGGTTCATGATCCCCCAGCTGCTTTATTTTGGTCAGCTGGACGTCTGACACCCGCAGTATCCAAACCAAGCTGAGATTTCCAGGCATCCCACCTACACATGGAAATTCCAGAGATAGATTGTTCAAGTAAAATGCGCACTCTCTCTCTGGAGGGACGCATACCGCTTACCTAATTCCAGAAAGTATTAGGCGCAGTTGCATCTTCAAAAAGACATGCGAGTCTTTCTCCCGGTAAATTAATATTTAGGTTTTATATGCCCAATCTCAGCCGAATGAATTTACTCCCCAGTTCTATT